AGTAAATGGAGTGTGCTCCTACCTAAGTGAGTGTGGCAGGGTGCAGTCTTACATTTGAAGCAGGAGAGGAGGGCACAGGTGTCTTTTAAATTATCCCAATCCAAAAGGTGGGATCAGTTTATTTGAAGAAAAATAGGTCCAAACTAATACAGGGTTTTTACCTTCTCTCTTTACAACATTATAATTATACTAAAAACCATGGTGCTGTGATCATGTTCAAATATGAAACTTTAATTCACAGTCTTACATTTATTACCAAAATGTTTAATTTCAACTGCCCAATTCAGTTGTGACATTTTAAAATTCTCCCGATAGAATTTAGAGGTATTTCCTCGTAAAAAGACCGGTGACAATAAAAAGCGCATTCAACTCTTTTTTCACCAAATCAATTCACATCAGTTTCATACCTTTTTTCCGACACAGACGGCGGGTATAACATTCAAAAACACATTCCTATCCGCCAAGGTTTCGGAGGAAGATTTCCTCACAGGTCGCGGGTTATAATATTCATACACTTTTTCCGACACAGACGGCGGATTAACCTTTCAAAAACACATTCCTATCCGTCAAGGTTTCGGAGGAAGGTCCTCACAGGTCACGGGTTATAATATTCACAAACACATCTCTCATCAAATCATTCCACTCAGCCAACAACCAAGAAATTCGAGAGATATTTACCCCGTCTGGCAGGACCTTACCGAGAGCTAGTTACCCAGCTCTGAAGCACACAGCCTACCGGGAGAGAGTCTACCAGGGGAAAAACCCCCCTCTCTCCTCTCTCTCTCTCTCTCAAAAAACCAGTCTCTTTATGCTAAAAAAACTGGATCGAAACCCCAAAAAACAAACTCCTCCTCTACACCCAATTTGTGGAAAACTGCGCATGCCCTCTAATGTACAGGGCTAAACATGTCCCGACATGTTCCATAGCTTTATGACATAAGACCCACCTTCTCATGTTAGTGTGAAAAGGACATGAACTATTTTTGACCTCTGTGTTTCTCCTTAAGCCTGGAGCCCCCCTCCCTGTGTACTGCTGTCACAGGAGAGGAAGAAAACTCAACCTAAACAAACCACTTTGTTTTGTTTATACTGTAACTATAGAAAAACCTAAAATATGAATCATTTTCATTGTGGGTTATACAAGAATATAATTGATTATATTTGATTATAACTAACTTTCGTTTTTTAAGTATTAAACATACTATGAAAACTCACAACACCCTCTTTTCAAAACGCAAAGTTATCAAAATAGCAACAGAACAAATTGTAAGCACATACATATTCAAAAACCGTCAAGAAGCATTCTCATTATGGGTTTATACAATAATATGATTGATCATGTATGATTTATTAATTAACTTTCGTTTTTAAGTATTCACTTCATACCATGATCTCAATTAACTTTCGTTTTAAGTATTCACTTCATATGAAGATCTCAACAAATTTCACGTACTTTTATCAGAAATGATGTATTAATTTATTCCATTCTGGTCTTAATTCAAAATCTTAACAGAGGACACATTTAGAACTTAGTTATAGTGAATTATCAAAGACATTATATTTCTATTAGTGTTTTATTTCCATATGTGAACATATAAGAAGGGCAATCTCCATGACAGGTGCTCGTGCTATTTTGACTACCACACACTGACCCAGTGTTGTAATATTACAACAAAGACATAAGCTGCTCAAAATTAAATTTGATGATTGACGTTTCTCATACATTGATTTAAATGGATCTCATAAAAAAACAAAACATTATTATTTTATTTTTATTTTGGTGTTCTAATCAAATGGATAGTGAGGTGGGCTGATGATCGGAAGGTTGCGAGTTCAAATCCCGCCTGGAACACCACCACTAGTGTGCCCTTGAGTAAGGCACTTAGCCCTCAGTTACTCCAGGGAGAACGTCCCTGTAATTGGTCATTGTAAGTCGCTTTGGAATAAGGCGTCTGCTAAATGCCTAAACTGTAAATTGTAAATTATATTTTTGGGAGAATAAACCCCACAGATCCTCAACTCCGGTGTGTCTCACTCATTAACAACGCAACACAGAGCAACAAGAACGTTGTCTACAGTAGCCATTAACTCACATGTATTTTCTTATTTGAGGCGGGGTGGATGCGTGGGCCACCCGAATAGGTTAAGGGGCCTTTGGCTTTTCTTACCGGGGGGTGCGGTGCCGCCACAAATATAATCCAATTCTGTGGGAAACACTGAATATATTCCACAATAACTAAATATTTACATGTTCTAGACATTGTGATAATCACAAAATATATTTGAGGCATTTTACTTACTTGAATCTGACAAATCCAGTCCAATAAAACAAAGAGATGTTGCTCGAGGGCAGGACCTATAAACACATGTATTACCCAATAGCTGTGTGAGACTGAATAAAAGGACCTTTGGACTTAAATGTGGTCTTTAAAAAAACTAAATATTTAGTGACTTTTTTAGGATAGCTTAAAGTAATGTTGTAAAATTACAACCGTGGGCTTTACAGGGTTAACTCAATTTTCTATGTCTTCGTGGATTTAATCTGTTATATCTTTATTTTTTGTATAGGAAATTGAAGGAGGATTTGCTGTCCCCCTCTGTCTTCCACTGTTTTCTACCTCAACCAACATTGGTGACCACTGTCTACCTCCGAAGGGCATCGGGACTTCGCCCCCCCAAACAAAAAGGTTGCGTACCACAGAACCACTGCATCTCCTAAGGGATAGCAGAGGAAAATATAAATGTTTTCTTAACATTTTGTTGTATTGTCCATTATGTTCCACAGCTCCAGATGTTTATGCCATAGTGCGGTGTGAGAACGACACCATCAGGACGCATGTTTTCAAGGCGGAGGGAAACCCAGAGTTCAACCTCAGAGCCATCTTCTACAGGAGATACCCCAGCACACACATCTCTATCGAGGTTTGACTTATTTATATATTCTTTCTCACACACACACACACACACACACACACACACACACACACACACACACACACACACACACACACACACACACACACACACACACACACACACACACACACACACACACACACACACACACAGCCTTTGCACACACAGTCAATCCTGTCTTGATGTGTGCAGTTGTGGAGCAGAGGGTGGCTGTGGGACTCCATGCTGGGAGAGGCTCGGCTCCAGACGGCCGAGTCAGAGAGAAGTCGGAGTCATGTGATCGATCTGCGAGGCGGCCAATCCCGGTCCGGGTCCCAAGGGTGCGTCTATGTCGAGACCTCCTCCAGCGTCTGCCTCACAGACTTGTGACAGCATCATGCGTTGCCCTGGTTATTCCCTGACACGGCAAGTGTCTTCCTCTCTGGTGGAAGTGGATGGACAAACAGAAGTTTTGATGAACTAAAGTTAGACTGTGTTAAACAACTAAACCGCTGATACATTTTGTAATTAAAGATGTATTTAAGGCAGATGCTAGTTGCACCTGGGTGTACATTACATTACATGTTACTTGTTAGACGCTTTTATCCAAAGCGACTTACATACTCAATACTGTGGCCAATCCCCACAGGAGCAATTTGGGGTGAGGTGTCTTGCCCAGGGACACAACAACATGCTGTCACGCCTCAAGCAGTCCATGCAAAAGAATGAACTGCGGCCAAAATATTTCCTCTGTGTGGTATTATATTTAATTAATCGTAAGAACTGTTGTTTTGTTCCTGTTGTGGTTGTATTTTTTACGATTATTTATGTTGTTAATATGTTTGAATGTCAATGTACAAAACTATATTTGCATTTGTGTTTTGAGTTTTTTCTCCTATGATTAAATAATTAACACTTTTCAGAGTGTACTGACGAGTCAGTTTATTTCATTTGTTGCAGTATTGAAATTATTGAAGTAATTTTTTTGGGGGAAACTTTCACTTCAGCTTTTAGCCCAGAGGACTTAAATCAGTAGCCGGACAATGGGAACGATTAAAGTGCACCCTGGTGAGAGAGAATGTTTTAACATTCACTCTCACCAGGGTGCACTTTTGCAGGACTGCAAACAGAATCGGAAACAACACACTGTGTTGCATGAACATTTATTAAATGTTTTTCCTACTTTCCTCCATTTTGATAACATGTAAATGACCGAGATAAACTGCAGCATTACTGGAGCTTATATTGCTTAGGAAAACGACTGTGTGATACTGAATGTGGCCAGTCTGGCCACACATCTGTTCCAAATGCAAACTATCCAAATCTAAGATAAAAGGCTAAGGCTTGGTCAACCTTTAACTGTTCTCATTTGACAGTATTTGTATATCCGGAGCCTGTTTGAAGTGTTGAAATGTGGTTTGTTTTATGTTGCTCTAAGTTGACTTTCAAAATGCTGTACTATTAACAAGTGTTCATTTTTTACATTCTATGCTGTGATACTATACTATATATAACTTGCATAGCTTTGACTTTCTACTCTTTTTAGATTGCAACTTTTGAACAGAAAATCATGAGTTTCTAAAATGATAATTAATTGTTGAACTACCAAATAGTATTAGGTATGGTATTTATAATTAGCTCCATCCTGACAACAATAGGAGTGATGTAATTGTAAGAATAATCGCTGTTGCCATTCTGCTGCATAATACTTTTACTAATTGTGTTTTTTATTTCCACTAGTGTGTTTTTTACTCTGATATTGCTGCTTTTACTGAATTAGAGGACATACATACATACATACATACATACATACATACATACATACATACATACATACATACATACATACATACATACATACATACATACAGACATACATACATACATACATACATACATACATACATACATACAGACATACATACATACATACATACATACATACATACATACATACATACATACATACATACATACATACATACATACATACACATACTTATTATCCCTCTACTGAGAAACAGGCTTATAGTTTTTAGGTCTACAGTCAGCTGAAGGGCATGCGATCTCCCGAGAGGTGGAGTTACTGCAGCTCACGAGGCGATGTCAGACTCACAGTTGCAGTTTGCGGGAAGGAGGCAGACTGACTAACAGCAGGGTAAGTGTCCTATAACAAAACAATTCGTCACTTTTGTGCATTACATTTCATTTCAAACATTTATTTATCCAGGTATTACAATATTACGTTGACACTTTACGCGGTTATTCCGCAGTTGAAAACCCATTATCTGGTGTTAGAAGTTAACATCATGCCGTTGTGTTAGCGGGGTGTGGCAGGTTACATTGAACTTTTACTGAGAAATAAAAGGCGAGGCCACAGATAGACGTTATATTTCCGGATTTGACAGCATTTATTTATCAGGCTGCGTAACCTTTGCCAACGTTTTGGACATGGGACATGTGAAGTGAAACCAAAACAGAAAGTGGTCAGAGTCGACTTACATGTTGTAGAGGCAATGTTGACATCACATAAATCTAATTTAATATCAGTTAACTATCCTAAATTGGACTAAAGTTATATTTCAGCTTCACATATTTTGTCTAATTGTCATACTACATTTCTTCTTCGTTGTCTGCTTTAATGTTGTAGTTTTTGTGCACAGGTTGTCTCTTGTTGCTGGTCAAACTGGCTTTCATAGGAATCTAGTCAAACCACTTAGCTATCATTTGGCTTACTCTTCCTGAACACATATATTGTACGTTTGTGGACATCAACAACAAACAAGACCGTATGCAATTCATGTCATCACATTTTATTGAGGAAAACTAGGATAGTTTAGGAAAACTAAATTGAATTTATTCTGGGATAAATCAACTGACCTGATTAAATCACTGTAACGAGCAGCAACATGCATGTATAATGTATTCTCTTACCCTAAAAACTCACCATTTCTTTAACTTATGTGTAACAGAAATACAATTTAAATCTAGGATCCTTTCATGAGTAATTTCCCTAAATGCCTAAAGGGATTGCCACTGATTTTACATCCTAAACAGTTAACTTGGGATTGTGAAAAGAGATAAGGTTGTATATGACTCAAACAGGAGCCATTGAAAAAAACCTTATCATGTTTCAGGTGTGGCATTTACAAAGAAACAGACCATCAAGAGGCATCGTGGTCTAATTGAAGACGCTTAGTTGCATTGTGGGAAATTAATTGTAATGTGAAAAGGACATATTGACTGCTTACCATAATGTATTCATTAAGAAAGTACTCCTCACACCGGCATTGGAATTCTTTAACACTGTCAGTGAAAATGGAAAGTACAACATATATATATTTCCTTAATTCAATGCATTCTTCTTTTTCAAAACCAGTTTTCTACATCGTTAAGACTAGAAATTATATATTAATGATGTATATATTTTATATTTGTCAAACAAAAATGTCGAATATTCCCTGGTTTCAGCTTTTTGTTTTTGGGCTGGCTAATAGAATATCACTGTCAGCGTCTAGACTTGTACTTTTTAACAATCAACAACTGTCTGCTCAGTTTTGATCCTTTCTTCTTTATTTCAGAACCCTCACCACTGAACATGTCGAACATAGGCCTTATTAGTCGCATCCGCAGCACTCCTCAACCCTCAACCCCCGCACTAGGTGAGACCACGTGCACGCCTGTCATCGGTTCATTTTACTCAGATTGTGTACAGTGAAGATGCTTTAAGTGTGTTTTAATCTATTCTTTCTTTTGCAGCTGTTTCAAAGTTGTTTTTATGTATCATACCCATTGCTCAGATTGCAATTGGTAAGTGAGCGACTCATTTTACAGATTTTGTTGAACTGATATTATATTTGTAATGTCTGTTAAGAATGTGGATAAATGCAATGCCACCCATGTGTCCTCCAGGTGCTGTTCATCTGCATGACTGTCCGAGGAAACACTACATCTCCATCTATCTGATAGTGGCAGGGGTCTTTGGCCTGGTGCTCTCGCTGCTCTCCTGCCTGCCCTGCGCCAAAACCCCCGAAGATGGAGACACCAGCCTGCTCAATAAAATCTGCGCGACGTGGAACTCCTTGACATCGTTATTTCTCTTCTGCTGGTTTATTGCAGGTGAGTTTAAATAGCCTTGCACGGACAAATGAGTGACATATAGTGACATCCAGCCAAATTAGCATCATATCACCGTCCCATAGGGTGAGGCTCAGGGAAGGGAAGCTAATTTTTGACCAACTATCATATTTGTTTTACCACAAAAGACGTCAATGTTGATAACAGCCCTGAAAACCCTGGAAAACAATAAAGCAGAGGTGTCAATCAATCAATATCAATAGGATACGGCTGTAATAGGCCTAAGGCCTTTTAGTCGCTCATAAATAAGTAGATCACTGTTCTTTATATACTATGGATGCTGGCAACAGTCACATAGTCCAAAGTGAAGGTGATGTTTGACCATTAATGGTCGAGGCGGGACTTGAGACAGTTAACCGTCTTGGATGTGACAACGCTTTCTGGCAGATCATTCCACAAGTCAACCACACGCAGGCTGAAAAAGTTGCGGCGGATATAGCCAGTCTTGAGTACTGTTTCTTCAACTTGAGGCAGTGTCCACGAGTCCTGGTGTTATAATCCCGTTGTAGTGGGCATGATGTTTTGTAGATGTTGTGGAGATATTTGAAAACTTCGATCATATCTCCCCTCGCCCTTCTATAATACATACTCGGGATCTTAAGACTTTCCATTCGTTCTTGATATGGTAGGTCCTTTAGTTCTGGAACCAGCTTCATTGCCCTTCTCTGTATTTTCTCGATGAGCTCAGCATCCTTTTTGTACATGGGGTGTGACAGAGGGCTGGATGTTCATAGCTGAGCTAATGAATTTGACCCAACCAAACAACAACAAATAGCTAAGTAGGCTCCAGGAAAACAAGCTTAAACGATGCCGGGTGAATTATGCTACTTTAACATAATTGAACTTCAGGTTACAAACATTCCATACAACAATGCAAACACAACAAATTACATTAATACAAAAAATGAAATGCATAATTCGCTACTAAAAGCAACCACAATCTAAATCATAGTTACTACAAAAAGAAAACAACAGCTCGCGGCTTACTGACAGCCTTAGGGGTTGCTGGACAAGTGGATATGTGTACCTAATAAAAACGGTGTATAAAACTGCAGGTAACCATTGCACTACAACTTGTTATGTTAAGTATCTCTGGTTAAGCTCATCTAACTTTAAAACAATATACATGGCTTTTCACACAGCCTCCTTTTTTCTTTGACTAGTGGCCATTATCTCCTGCTACTTTGAGGTTCTCCTGTCTAAATTCTCCTTAGTTGCACGTGCTGTAGTAACATATATTGGCCACTAGATGTCCATCTATGTCTGAGAGATCGCCTTCCTTTTTTAAATTGGCACAGCTGCACATGCAAACAGGTTCAGCCTATTGTCCTACAGTCCTTAATGTCACAGTGTAGGTAGCCAGTCAGCTGAGGTTGAGTATGCTTATGTTACATATTATGGTCTGATTTTCACTTCACTTTCTACCTTACATTAAATAAATTGCACTACTTTTTAAAAAAACTAAAATTGCTAAAAGTTTAAACTAAAAAGTAAGACCCACAGAGGGTTTTCCACATGCATACAATTCTATATCTAGTTTGATATTTACAACTTTTTAGCGTAAGGCTCAAAGTCATACAGTTTGTCAATTCACACTTGGCAGAAGTAGCCAATTGCATCAAGCGAGAGGCGGGCTTTACTACTTAACCACTCCCTACCTGTGTGTTGATGCTGCTAGATGTGAGAGTGCCTATTACATTTAATGCTGCTTCATACAACAGTTAATACAGGTAAACTGGGAGGACTAAATGTGCACAGTGACCAGAAAGACAATACAAAGGTTAATAGTTATATACAGTTTACTTATCCTTTTTATTTCTCTAGGTAATGTGTGGATATACTCTATTTATCAGCCAAACTACAACAAGAATTCAACAGATGTGGATCCGTACTGCGACAGGACACTGTACCTGTTTGCTTTCTGGACCACCACCCTAGTCTACATCCTCCTGGGGGTGTTCATGTTGGGCGGCTGCTTTGTCTGCATCCTTCAGTGCCTGTGTGGCCATGCGGACGCCGATGACAATCCCTAGAGACAAACCAACCAATAAGGAGACAGGAGGAGATTTTGCTGCTGACGCTATTAATGTTAACAAATCATACATTGCAACAAGAGACCAGTAGAGCGGTCAGGAATGAGTCTTAAAACCCGGAAATTAGTTAGCATTTTTGCACTTTTGGTTCCCTCGTCTCAAAGTCATTAGGTTTTTGTTCAAAGGTTTTTTGTTAGATACCTGAAGTAATACTGTGGTTATGACAAGCTTAATAGATTTGATCATTTTGCTCAAATATATATCAGTAAATACCAGTCAAACGCTTCTTGAGCTTGTGTCTTAAAATCGGCAGTGTGGCTAACTGAACTACCAAACGTCATCACACCAGAGCCCGTCTATAGCTTGTTGTTTGTGACATGAAGTCATGTGACAGTGGTTTAGTTTGTTTAAGACTAACGTTAGCATTTATTATTCTGCTTAAAAAATGGGTAAGCTTCATATTCATGTTTGCCAGGGAGTACATTTTCTACAACTCACGAGAATCCAATGACAACATCCCACAGGAATGTTCAGCCCTGCACTTCTCTCTGTCTCATAGTGGCACAGCCTTTGTTTTGACAAACATATTATACATTCTTAAATCTGAGATGCTGTACATTTGATCACTGATCACTAATAATGCCTGTAAGTCTCTATGTTGAGCTTTTTCTAATTAAAACTGATTCTGCTTTCTCGGAATCTTTACTCACATCCTGTTTGAAGTATAACTGAGATGCTTTTTTTTGTACACGTTGATCCAGAAACTGGGCTTAAACTGTCCAGGATAATAAGATCAAATGTCTGATCTTTGAGTTGATTTTTTGTACTGTAAAGCTTGTGTTTGTTGATCATTTGTGGCAAGAAGGCCCTCAATAAAACCTGGATAACCAATACTCTATATCTTTCTCATCTGGTTCTTTATTACAGTTAGTAACGAAGCCTACACTAAATACTTTAAGTTTCCGTATGCAGTGGTTTGTTTTCAGGGGGAACCAGCATTTATGTTGGCACTTTGTTTGACATAATGGCATATTCCACATAATGTCTTCCCGTAGAATAGACAGCAAGTCACCCAAAATATCTACATCGTGACTTTTGATGGGTAAGGATGTTTTCTGGTTTGATCCAATATTGTCCTCACACATACAGATTATAGGTAGACAAATATTTGGTCACACTTACATCACTTCAATCACTTGCTTTTATCCCATGGCAATACTAATGTTGAGGTATAATGTTGTACAATGTTTTTATAATTGTTATGCTATTACGTTTGTATTTTGTTTTTGTCTTTGCTTTTGTACAGCCCTTTGAGGCATTTCTTGTGATTTGGGGCTATAATGAATTTTGTTTTGATTTGATTTATCTTGTAAACCCAGCATTGGGGAAATACACCATGCTTCAGCTGCTATATTCTGTGGTATCCTGCAGTGCAAGCTAATCTAATCACAACCTTTCCATCATAATTTCTACTATGATTTATCTTAATGCAGCTCAAACTACCACATGAGTTCCACATGTATAACTTGTGTGCCAAGTATTAAGATAGCATACACTGTAAAAAAAGATCGTAATTTTACAGGAAATAACTGTACATATTTATAGTAATTATCATGTTTTTTTAAATAACTTGCAAAATCCTGTAAAATGACAGATATTAACTATAAATTAACAACCCAAAACATTATTTAAAGTATTTTGACAACAACAAATAACGTTTATTTCATATTTTTTTTACAGTAAATGTACTATATAATATTTACAGTATTTTTGCACTTTCAGAAAATACATGCAGATGTACGTAAAATAAAAAGTATTATCTGTAATTAAATATGTAACTCGTAATATAAAAGTGTATTACTATTATAAGACTTTAAGATATTTCTTTGTAATTTTAAGGTAAACATAAAACTGTAAAAAAAAGCGTCTAAAAAAAACGTAAAGTGTAAGTAAAAGATTTTTACATAAATCATTTTCTCAATTGAATCCACCACAAACACAAAATATCCAATGTTGAAACTAAAGTAAATAAATATGTTTTCATTAAATTCCTAACTTACTATATTGTAAACATCTACAGTTGACAATATCATTAAAACAAATTAAAATCCTAGAAAGTGGAGAAATCTCTGCAGGGAGGACCAAGGTTTAAAACACACACTGTTATTTACTCAACAATAAGTCACAGTTAGCCTTGTTTTATTTATGTGTTCTGCTGCTGTGTTTTTTTTCCATTGGTCAATATACAGTAATAAGCCTTATAGTCAGGGGTGCACATAACTTTTTTGCCCTGGTTCTCAAAGGAGCACCTGGAGATGTTGCTTGGTGCTCATCCTTAAAATGAAATAAACCGTAACTTTTGAGGGGGTCTTTATGTGCCAGACACACGGCACTGAACACCAGTGGCGGCGCCAGAGATTTGCTCTAGGGGGTGCTGTGGGGTAGCTTGACGTTTCATAGAGGGTGCTCAAACATTAAGGGTTTCCCATTAATGCACCAGCGCTACAGTTGAATTTTCTACTGCAACACTCCCCACACACACACACAGTGTGCCCGCGACTGTTACAATGAAGGCTCGGTAATCAGCTCACGGCATATAGGTGTAAGCAGGGGTAAAGTGCTATTTTTACAAGTGGGGAGTGGACCTCACCTCCTCTAGGAGGGTCCTCACCTCCTCTAGTGGGAAGATTTATTTTTAAATATTGAAGTTAAAAGCATCAATCTGGTGCACGTTGAGAGCCAAAATGAAGAGATCTATGGATATACAGTATCTCTCAACATACATATGAAACAGAACTGTAAACAGATTTTCTATTTCTTTATAGATATTTTACAAATCATTCCCCTTTTAAAACAAACCGTTTGAGACCCACTGAGATAACTAGACTAAAGTTAACTATCTAAACACTGAGTCCTTTACTTCACCTGAGCTGAGGTTATCTGAGACTCTCCGTCTGACAGGAGAGAGTTCTATTTCGTCCCTACTGACCGCCAGAGGCGGTGCTTTAAGCACTGGATATGTCCATCGCGCGCATGCGCAGCTCGAGTACCAATAACAACAAAGTCACCTGTGACCCCGGCTATATCAGCCGGTGTCGTCAGAGGATCTGTTCCTTTCATCTTCTCGCTGCGCGAGGGTACCGTGGCTACATTTTTGTAGCCTACAGCGTTCAGGTTTGAACGTTTGATCTGAGGGATTTCTCTGCAAGCAGCTGGCCGCGTGCAGCTTTGTGACTGACAGTCGGAGCTACGGGTCGTTAACGCGTCCTCCAGGAGCTGTGGCCGGCTGTGCGCTGTGCAGAGCCTCGACAGACAGGTTGGTGTCAGCTTGTTGCTGGTGATGGCTGTGTCCCCGCACCCTCTCCCAGCCAAGTTGTCCTGATTGTTGTCTTGTTTTTTGTTTGGCTTAGACTTTCTGGTGACGACAGTGTTCCCGCTTCCTCTCCCATAAAGTTGCCCTTATGCTCTTTTGAAAGTTCTGCTTGTGGCGTTGTGCCCGAGCTATCATTAGCATTTGAGTCCCAGCTTTGGCTGTGTCCCTCATTCAATTTAGTATGGAAAGCCCAGTGTCATATTTTAAACCCGTTTTTCGTTTAGATGCAGAGAGTAAGGTAAGTACTTTCTATTTCTTAGAAGCTATTATCTGGTCTTAACATTTGTGTTCTGACTTGGTCGCTTGATTGTTAGCAGCAGCCGCTTGGCTAACACCTTGCTGTTAAGCTTAACAATTAACTCAGCCGGTGAGGGCAGTGCTCCCGCTCCCGGTAACATAGGGTTTGATTGCAGTAGCGCTAGATCGTTGTATTACTGGGGCAGACTGGCAGCTGCCTCGGCCGCTGGGCCCTTAGGCCCACTGTCGTTGCGCCCCATGCAGATGTGGCTGAACAGCCTTCACTTGGACGCCAAGTGGCACAGGCACAGGGAAGTCAGGGTGTCGCAGCATTGCCTCCACTCTCTGTCACGCTGGAGGGGCAGGGCCTATCTCCTAGTGGGCTTGCCCATGGGCGCCATCCCATCCCGCCAGGAGACCATCACCATAGGTGCATGTCTCTCAGGGTGGGGTGCAGTGCGGCAGGGCAGGACCGTTCAGGGTCAGCGGTCTGCCCAGGAGAGTGCGCGCCAGGTCAACGTGCTAGAGCTTCGGGCTGTGCAGCTTGCACTCATGCACTTTCTACCCCAATCGGGGGGCAAGAATGTGCGTGTTCCTTGGGGACAGCATGTACGTTGTTGCTTAGACAACAGTCCCTTCTAGATAGTGGACGTTCTCACTCCACTCTGAATTTATGTGGCTGCGATTTCTGCCCGACATGTTCGGGTCGACGGCGCCACGGCGGGGTGCCACAGGTCGGTGTCCCTCTTTATGAGAGGGGCTTTACGGCAGCGTCCCCCTAGCACCCCGAGGGCTCCGGCTTGGGACCTGCCCCTGCTGCCGGATGCCCTATCATCTCCTCCCTTCGAGCCCCTGGCCCAGGTGGGGCTTAGGTGGCTGCCCACGAAGGCAGCATTTCTGCTTGCCATAGCCTCAGGGAAGCGAGTCAGGGAGTTGCATGTCCTCTCCATAAACAATACATGCCCGAGGTGGGACTCTCAGGCGTTGCCCTTTGGGCAAATGTGGCATTCCTGCCCGGGGTCCTTCCACAAATCCACTTCAATCAGCCTGCCCAGCTGGCACGCTTTGACATTCAGGAGTACGGCACGTCGAAGTTGCTGTGCCCTGGGGGTGCCCAAAGGGCGTATATCAAGGCTACTGCCTGTATACGGCAGTAGGAGCAACTCTTGATTTTGCCCTGGCGGCACTAAAGGAGGTTATGCCCTCTAACCGGTGGCTGCCCCACTGGGTTGTCGATACCATCTCACAGGCTTACGGGGCCAGTGGCCGCCCCCTGCCATCGGGCTGAGATGCCACTCTACAAGGAGCATCTCAACATCTTGGGCTGCCCTGAGGGTGGTGCCCCTGGAGACCATCTGCGCCGCGGAGTCGTGGGCGTCTTCTGGCACATTCTCCAGTTGTCATCAGGTCAATGTCGCCACTCCCCATTCTTTGGGCGTGGTCCTTTTGCCGAGCTCCGCTGTTTCCAGTGGTGAGCAAGGGCTTGGATTCTTCATGACATTGTTGGTATAAGTCATCCAGTGCTTAAAGCACCGCCTCTGGCGGTCAGTAGGGACGAAATAGAACGATAGTTACGGCTGTAACTACGGTTCTATGAGTCCCGGATGACCGCCAGAGTTCCCTGTCACTCAGAATTCTTGTGTGCTCGCGAGAAGATTCTGGGAACAGATCCTCTGACGACACCGGCTGATATAGCCGGTGTCACGTGGGTCACAGGTGACTTTGTTGTTATTGGTATACTCGAGCTGCACATGCGCGCAATGGACATATCCAGTGCTTAAAGCACCGCCTCTGGCGGTCATCCGGGACTCATAGAACCGTAGTTACAGCCGTAACTATCGTTCTCCCTCCACCTTGTTGTTGAAAAAGCTCTTTATATCCGTTAGCTTGGCTAGCTAGCACCAGATGCTAACCACAACGATCTCCGGTAGATACCCACCGGTGCGCAAGCTCTCTCTCTCGCTCGCTTGCGCACGCACACAAAATGGCTCGTGCCACACACACACAGAGCAGAGCTTGAATGAAACAGACCCAGAAGTAAGCTACTTGTACTCATAAGGCCTATTATGTGCAGAATCCCTCTCGCTTTCAGGTGGTTTTGATTGAGTGTCCACACGTGGACGTTTAAGGACTAAAAAACGATCCATTTGTCACTTTGCTGTTAGCAAATCATTTGGGGCTCCAGCTAACAGGAAGTCACTCAAGTGTCACAAAGTAATTTACCCTATGGGTAGGTCAAAAATCGAATGGGTGCTGGCCATTGGCCTAATCATATCACCTGTGTTGGC